CGGATACTCTCCACATCTTCCGACTCTGCAGGGATGAGAGATCTGGCTGCAATTGTGAAGAGACTGAGCCGCTCCCCCTCCCCTATCTGTTCTAGCCTCCATTGACAAAACCCCTTTCATATTTTCCAAGAATACAAGGTGTTCTGTGAAGGGTCAGCAGTGATTCTGTCGTTCATCCACTCCTCGTCTATTCACAAGCTCATGGACAAGGGTGATCCTGTCATTCATCCACCCCTCAGCCATTCACAATCCCATGGACAACGGTGATCTTGTCATTCATCCATCACTCGCCCATTCACAAGCCAATGGGTAGAGATGATCCAGTTATTCATCCACCCCTCACCCATTTACAAGCCCATTGTTAAGGGTGATTGGGTCATTCATCCACTCCTCACCCATTCACAACCCCATGGACAAGGGTATAAGGGTGATTCTATAATTCATCCACCCCCTCGATCATTCACTCATTCATAAATTTGTCAGTGGGTGAGGAAAATGGGCCATGGGCTTGTGACTGGGTGAGGAGTGGATGAATGACCCAATCACCCTTGTCCATGGGTTTGTGAAAGGGTGAGGAGTGGATCAATGACAAGATCACCGTTGTCCATGGGCTTGTGAATGGGGGAGGAGTGGATGAATGACAGGATCATCGTTGTCCATGGGCTTGTGAATGGGGGAGGAGTGGATAAATGACAGGATCACCCTTGTCCATTCACAGAACACCTTGTTCTGTATTCTAGAAAAATAATACAAGAAATTTGTCAGTGGGCGAGGAAAAAGGAAGGGGAGGGGCGAACAGCGCAATCCCTTTAAAGTTGCAGATCACCGTTGTCCATGGGCTTGTGAATGGGGAGGAGTGGATGAATGACAGGATCACCGTTGTCCTTGGGCTTGTGAATGGGGGAGGAGTGGATGAATGACAGGACCCTCGTTGTCCATGGGCTTGTGAATAGGGGAGGAGTGGATGAATGACAGGATCACTGTTGTCCATGGGCTTGTGAATGGGGGAGGAGTGGATAAATGACAGGATCACCCTTGTCCATTCACAGAACACCTTGTTCTGTATTCTGGAAAAATAATACAAGAAATTTGTCAGTGGGCAAGGAAAAAGGAAGGGGAGGGGCGAACAGCGCAATCCCTTTAGGCTCCATTCACACTGCGCGATTCGCAAATCGCACGTTTGAGCGCAAATGCTTGCTAGAATCGCGGCAAAATCCGCTCCAAAAAGGGTCCTGCTGTAGCGACGCACGACCCGCGACAGCAGGACCCTTTGCCCCATTGCCAAGCATTGGAGAGCGATATCGCGCGGTAAATAGCCGCGATATCGCGGGAATTACCGCACGATAAATCGCTCAGTGTGAACGGGGCCTTAAAGTTGCAACTGCATCTCTCACCCCTACAGTGCCCGTAGATGTGGAGAGTATACAGCCCCATTAAACTGATGTTTTTATAGTAATTTGCAGCCAGCAGGACATAGGAGATTCTTCAACAGAGGTAATTTATATATGGCTTGGAGTTCAGGGTTAATGTGCAGGTCAGAGCAAAAGAAAGTAAAAATCTATTCTGTATTCATGGTGCCATGTAACAGTCATACTGTTCTCTGTCTGATGGTTTGGAACTTGGACTCTGTTTACAATCAGTTTGCCTGTTACTAATATGACCACCAGTCTGATGGCAGTCAGCTGCTTGCTCTGTCCACCTGTCTGACAACACCGCTCTAGCATCTGCCATTCCTATCTGCCAGCTGTCACTCTTGGTGACACAGTGGGTCCATTGAACGCTGTGCCATGCAACACTTTTGCCAGTGACAGCTGTCTAAGAGGATAATTCTCATAAATTTGGGGAGATCTCTTCTCCCTTCCTGTTGTGTCTTTGGGACAGGAAGTGGTGGGTGAATTTTTTCAAAGGAACACAAACAGATTTGGAGAGATTTCTTCTCACTTCCTACTGTGTTTTTAGGACAGGAAGTGGAGGGTGAATCACCTCAAAGCAACACAACACACACAAAAAAATGACAGAAGTTTTAGACTTTCCTTACTCTACTGATTTATTATTTTTTTGTTTTCTTTGGCTTCAGATAAACTCAGAGATCAGGGGGGTGCGGAGGATGTAACTACTCCTAAGCCCCTAAGCCCTAAACCAAACCAAACAAAACAAAACAAAAAAAACCCGTACGGTCACAATGTTCAATGCTCCCCCTAAATTAACAGTTGTACGTTCCCATTACAATGAGACATCATTTCATTATTCATCACATCCCTTTTCCTTTATGCAAATTCCATGAGTACAGTGAAATTATTATTCACTTTCATCATTTTACATTTTTTTGGCATAAAAGCTTTTTATTTTTTACCTGCGCTTATTGTTTTTTTTTTGTATAATATTTCTTTATTATTTCTGGATATAACAATATAAACATCATGTTAAGACACTGTCATGGGAAGAAAACCAGTCCAAATCAACAATAACATAAAAAACCCAAGAAAAATATTCATAGAACATCCACCATAAATTTTCCATTAGTGTTAAAACCATTCTTCCCCTTAAGGGTCTCAGCAAGAAAGAAGAGAAAAAAATAAATAAAAAAACTAAGAACCCAAATCCCCTCCCGAGCCCTAAACCAAACAAAACCAAACAAAAAAGCCAGTGAGGTCACAAGGTTCAAAGGTCCCCCTAAATTAACAGCTGTACGTTCCCATTACAATGAGACATCATTTCATTATTCATCACATCCCTTTTCCTTATCATGCAAATTCCATGAGTACGGGGAAATTATGATTCACTTTCAGCATTTTAATTTTTTTTTGGCATAAAAGCTTCTTTTTTTTTTTAACCTGCGTTTAAAAGGTTTATTGTTTCTTTTTTTTAAGTTATATTTTTTATAAAGTTTTATTGATCACACTAAATGCTGAATTCCAGGCAGCCGCTAAATGAAGGTGATCAGAATGGCTCATCTATGACTATTGAATTTTATTGAAATCATCCTCATTATCCTGTTTCACCTTAAAGGATAAGCGCCACTTTGTGATAAACATAAAAATGAAATGTTATGTTTATTCACTGTCTTCAGTAACCATAAAAAAAGAGTATTACCTGGGGATCCCCAAACTCTCATTATGCACCAGGGCTCTGTGGGATTTATTGATGCCTCTGATCTCTCTTAATTTGGTCTTCCGAAAATGGACATACAATGAATTTATCAAAACTTGGAGAAGAGAAAATCTGGAGCACATTTGCATTGCAACCAATCAGCTTCTATTTCTTAATTTCATATGTTAACTGAAAGACATGTGCACCGGCAAAAAAATGTTTTAATTTCGTTTTGATTTGGATTTTGCGTTATTTCGTTTTTTGGGATTCGGGTCCGAAAGTCAATTCGTTTCGGGATTCGGAGGAAATTCATTAGCGGTAGTCTGTACGAATTGTCGTTTCCGTTTCGTTCATTTAGTTGCAGCAAAGTGACATTTACATTTTTTTTTTGTCTTTTGTCTAATGTCACTTTACTGCAACGAAAATTTGTCCACAAACGCTAACGGATTTCATCAGAAATGCAGTTTTCTGAAATTCGGATTCGTTTTCATTCGCCATTTCTGTTATTCGGAAATTGAGATACATCCGAATCCCCAAATAACGAAAATGCGTCCGAAAAACAAATTTTTCCCAAATGAATCGCACATGTATTTTAAAGGAGAACTATGAGATGAGTGATTTCCACTCACCTCATAGTTCTAGCCGACCTGTGACAATGAGACTATCACAGGTCGGCTCAGTAGATCGGGAGGTGAGCGAACACATACCAGGTTCGCTCACCTCTCGATCCTGTCACGGCACTCTGTCGTGACAGGGGGAGGGGCTGGTTTCCCCTCTCCGATCTGCCAGCGCTGACTGGCGGAATGGACAGGGGAGAGGGCGGGTACAGCTGGCTCTGCCTCTAGATAGGCAGAGCCAGCTGTCACTCACACAGCTGGGCAGATTCCGTCATCTACGCCGGGATCCGCTCCGGCTGCGGCGTCTCAGTATACCGCGAGCTGTAGCTCGCGGTATACTGAGCTTAGGGTGACGGGAGGACGCTAGTTTGTGTCCTCCCGTTACCCTAAGGAGAACTATGGGGAAAAACACTGACCCCATAGTTCTCCTTTAACTGAGCTAACTGAGGAGAGATGCTGATTGGTTGCCATGGGCAACTGCTCCAGATTTTGTCTGCTTCAGTTTTGATCAATTCCCCCCAGTGTGTTTATATGACTATAGTCTGTGAGCTGCGTTGAGCATAGAATATTAGCTTTGCTTGATAGCATTTTTGCATTCATGATACTCAGCTTGCAGAGCACGATGGTTTTCCCAATACGATGTCACAGTGCTGCTTGCATGCTTGTAGCCAGGCTGTGTATAACCGACTATAACAGACACTCCCATCTTTGCAGGGAGAGAGGGTGGTCCCTCCTCTGAGTCATCCAGCAGCCTGTGTAATCTGGTTGTTCCTGCTGGTCATGTCTATTTCGAAGCACAGCTGTAAAAAAAAATAATAAAAAATGGGCCTGAATTTTAGACGGGCATTCCGATCAGGTCAGGTTTTCAGGCAGAGTTGATCAGAAGCCCAGTGGTGTTAGTTTATGGGCAACCAGATCTAAACGGATGTGCGTCCATTTACATCTGATTACCCAAGACTCCGCCCAGGTCCAGAAAACCAAACGGAATGGAGTTCCATTTTGGTGGACCTCATCATGGGGCATTGGGGGCAATCTGATGTAAACAGACACATGTCCATCTACATCCGACACCCCACAGATCTAACATGGATCCAGTGCGTTCATATTTTTCCTCCATCGCAAAATGGAGATAAAAACTGGATGGACACGAAGGTGACAACGGTGACATCCATGATGAACGGCTCTGGTCAGGACTTACAGGCACCCGTGTGAAAGGGGCCTGAAGGTGGCACTCTAACTTACAGGGTTATTCACAGAAGGGTGAAGAGTTTGGAGAAGGCAGGAGAAGGGAACATTCTAGGACAACATAGCTGATTTGGAAAGTGAGCTGAATTAGAGGATTTTTCCAAAACAGCTATTTTGTCCTAGATTGTTCACTTCTCCTCCTTCTCCAAACTCTTCACTCTTCTGTGAATAACCCTGTTGGAGTTGGTCACCTGCTGTTTACAAAGTCATTGGATGCACACAAAGTGGATTTATGTCCTTTGTGGCTGTTGAGGTTTATACTTAGACTCGGCTTAGCCCTCGTTCACACCTGAACGTTTTGTAGGGCGTTCTACGCTCGACGAACGCTCTACAAAACGCTCAAAAATATAAATCCCATTGTATTCAATAGTCTCGTTCCCACCTTGGCGTATTTCCGCCCGTCCCTAAGGCCTCGTTCACACCTGACCGTTTTGTAGAGCGTTCTACGCTCGACGAACGCTCTACAAAACGCTCAAAAATATAAATCCCATTGTATTCAATAGTCTCGTTCCCACCTTGGCGTATTTCCGCCCGTCCCTAACGCCCTACAAAACGGCCCACGCCTGAAAAGGTCCCGGGACTACTTTGGGCCGTTTTGTAGGGCGTTTTCCATTGGGATACAGCCAAGTAGCCTTTGGAATCGCGGTAAAAAAAACGCGTGACGGTCGCGCGTCAGACGCGCATATTACAATACGCCTAGGTGTGAATGGGGCCTTACGCGCTACAAAACGGCCCACGCCTGGAAATACATGTACTACTTTGGGCCGTTTTGTTGCGCGTTTCCATTGGGATACAGCCAAGTAGCCTTCGGAAACGCGCGTTTGTCGCGCGACTTTTTTACTGCGAATCGCGGTAAAAAAATGCACGACGGTCGCGCGACAGACGCGCAAATGCAATACGCCTAGGTGTGAACGAGACCTTAGAGTTCAGCAACCCCTCATTCACCCTTCTGTGTCTCTCTCTCTATATTGTAGATGTGACCAACTAGGACTTTAACCTCTTGCCGTCCGCCCGTAGTAAAAAAACGGACAGACGGCACTGCAGCATCTGCGGGTTGCCGTTGCAGCTTTTGAAGTATTCATCTTCACAGTTCCCGGCAGTTGTTCTATCCCAAGCGATCCTACGAGAATTTTGTAACAAAGGGAAAGATAATACTTCCTAAATAAAGTGTTCGGAGTCTAAGAAGGAACAACTGCTGAGCCTGAGAAAACGAGAGGTCAGTTACTGAGAGTCATTAGATAGAGACGGAGGGATCAAAAGTCGCTTCTCCTGGGACAGAAAAGGAAGTGTGGTCTTAGGCTGTCCATATAGTACTTGAATTTCGTCCGGGTCCTGCTGGCTTGGCCAAAATTTGAGCAATGTGTCTCCTTGCCGGCACCACCCATCTCAACAAAAGTCAATTATTCAATTGTTCCTTCGAGTTTAGTCGAAGGAACCAGATGGAAAATTGGTAATGTCATGTGCACCACCAGCACCCGGCCCCCCCCAGACTCAGGGGATGAAAAGTAGGGATGGACCGATAACGGTTTTTCGGTATCTAGTGCGAGTAGCGATATTTATCTTTCAGTACTCGCCCGAAACCGAGCACTGATACCGGTACTTCTACTTGCATGGAGCCGCCATCCTGGGCAATCAAGAGCATCATCTTAATTGCCCCGGTAATTAAGCCCCAGCCAATCAGCATGGAGCCAGCCAAACAGCATGGAGCCGGTGTTCTATTGAAAGTTCCAACTTGTTGACCTCTCCACCCATTGGGGCGGAGCTCTTTTAATCATGAAGGCTCAGTATCACATGAGGGTGTTACCTGGGGTGGTCTGCATGCAAATACAGCCTGTCTAGGAACACTCACTGCTCCAGACTGACTTCTACCCATCAAAGCATTTTGATATTTGCATAACTCCTGCATTGCATAGATAAGCACAGAGACCCAGTGATGACATAATGTAATCTAAAATAAAGTATCCACCCATCATGCCATTTGAAATATGCATAACTCCTCCCAAGATCCCGCCCACTGCTTTGCATCAGGGCTCTTGAGAGAAGTACTGAGGCAGGGTGCTGTGAAGTGCGCATGCCCAGGAAATCCTTGCGGAACTGTCTAACTATTGCCACAGCGCCTGCGCGGCTGACAACTTCTATAACCTACTAGTTATTTTTGTCCTAGGTTATAGAAGCCGATAGCCAAGCAGGAGCAGTGGTTGTTGCCTCATTGGATTCTATAACCTAGTCAAAGGTTATAATATGTTACAGCGCCTACACGGCTATATGATCCTTTCTACAGCCACAGTTACCACTGCGCCTGCGCGGCTATTGGCTTCTATAACCTAGGACAACTATAAGATTGTAGTAGGTCATAGAATCCGATGAGCCGCTAGCCGCGCAGTGGCAATAGTTAGACAGTTCGACAAGGATTTTCTGCCCATGCGCACTAGCTCCATCTGCTCTACATCTCCTACTGGCAGTCAGGAGTTATGCAAATTATGTCATCACTGGGTCTCTGTGCTTATCTATGCAATTCAGGAGTTATGCAAATATCAAAATGCTTTGATGGGTAGAAGTCAGTCTGGAGCAGTGAGTGTTCCTAGACAGGCTGTATTTGCATGCAGACCACCCCAGGTAACACCCTCGTGTGATACTGAGCCTTCATGATTAAAAGAGCTCCGCCCCAAGGGGTGGACCAGGGACTGTCAGGCTGGGGAGGAAAGAGCTAGATGATGCTTCCAGGAAACCAGACAGGCTCTATGTGAGAAGCTTCCAGCATGCAGCGGTCTCAATGTTTTCATTGCTGAAGCCTCTACAACTATCCAGTGACCAGCAGGCTCAGCATCTCCATAGCTTGTGTTCCGCATGGTGCGCTCTCAAGTAACAAATTAGCCAATATAGTTGTCACTCATCACCTGGACGGCTCCAGCAGCACATTGTATTCTCTCTCTCCTCTCCCCTCTCCTAGGGTTGCCACCTTTTCATCAAGCGAAACCCGAACACTCTAGCGATGTGCTGACATTTTTTGGGGGGAGAATGAGTTGCGGCTTATTCATATGTAAATCGCATCGCCACTTCATATGTAAATATCACTGCCGAGACTATTTTCAGTGGGGGGCCGGTAGCCCCAATCTTAATTTTGGCTGCCCTAAGTCAATATATGTCATAATGAAAACAGGAAGTTCAGCTTTGTTATTCTTGGTGCTCGGACGGCTGGAGGAATACGCCAGTCAAATGGGGAAATGTTTCATTTAAAGCTGATCTCCACGCAGATAGAAAAAGACAGAAATGAATGCAGTGTGAAATGTATTTTTATTAAATACAAGCAGTGTAAGCACCTGAATGGGACCTGGTATCAGCCTCTTGCAGCCCATTGTACAGCAGGGCTCAGGCTGGGGAAGAGAGAAGCAGTACAAGGAGCTAATCAGCTCATGGATTACAAGAAGCATGATGATAGGAGGAAAGAGCAGAGTGACAGAAAGATTCTAATTCTGATTCTCCTCTCACTGTCCACTTACAGGCTGGGGAAGGGACAAGACCTGTAAGTATAAAGGTGACGATACACTGTACAATCTCACTGTACAATCTCTTTACCAAAGTAGGTCATATAGGCACACTCATAAACAATCCATTCAATTTGTATCAAATCGAGCAGGTCCCTGTACTACATAATTCATGGTAGATCTAAAGGAAATTGTACAATCAGATTGTAAAGCGTATGGACTGCTTGAAAGAACTGATCAGAAATCAGATCTCCTTCCCTGCCAGACTGAGCTGTAGCGTGTGGCAGAGCTGTGGAAATATCATGACAGGATGGACAGGAATTCACATCCTTTGGTAGAACATCTGCAGTGATTGATGTCATGTGTGCATTTAGCCCGTTTGCCGGCAATTTATCTTGAAGGAGAAAGGATAGTGGGTTTTGGTCAGATTTCTTTTTGAAATTGAACTCAAGGTGGATATAAAAGCCACAAACCAATGCAGCTCTGCAATCATCAAATGTATATTGTAAATGCAAGCTGTGTAAGTACCTGACTCTGACCCGGTATCAGCCTATTGCGGCCCCTGCACAGCAAGGCTGAAGTGTGAGAGGAAGAGGCAATCAGGCATAAGAAGAGACAGAAGAGTGACAGAGAGATGGGCTTAGCGCAGTGCTGCTTCTCCTTTCACTGTCCAGTCACTGGTTGGGGGCACGTCCGGGATCACCTGGGCTTAGAAAGTGGGTTGAATCATGCTGAACATCAGACTGGGGACATCTAGTGGCAGGTAAAAGTACTGCAGGAGAAAACTCTGCATTGAAGGTAAATATTGCAAAGAAAGCTGGTTTTGTTATTTTATATTTTAATGATTGATGATGTATACACTGTTTTTTTGGAGGGGGGAGGGGCTTATGAATGATCTAAATCACATCCTTTAGTTTACAAATCAACATTTATTCTCTTTGAAGTCCAGTAAGAACTTTATACTTACATTGTTACACTGCTACAGACTTGGCCAGCTGTGCTCTGGGGGTGGCAGATGTGCGGCCTGGGTCTAGACTTCGGCTGTATCTGTCTCCGACGGTCCTGATACCATTGCCATGTTTGTGCTAAATAATTTACAATGGCCATCATCTCCTCCATTACACATGTATGTTACGTGTTCATAATTGTGTCACGATCTGGATCAGTAGCTGAAACAGCAGGCAAAGTCGTAGTCAAACAGGCCGGTTCGGTACACAAGCAGACGGTAGTAGTGGAGGAGCAGGCAGAAGCGTAGTCAGAGAACAAGTCGAGGTCAGTAGCCAAAGGTATCAGGTATGAAGTGGAAGACGATGAGCGTAGTCGGTGAATCAGCAGCCAAAAGGTCGGTACACGGGTAGCAGTATGATCAGATTGTATCACAGGAGGCGCAAGGAAGCAAGATATTGGCAGGAGCACAATAATCTGGTAAACAGGAAGTGCAGAGGAATGGCTTAAATAGGAAGTTCAAGGGAGGAGCAAGGAGTTCAGAGGTCAGCAGAAACTAGGTGGAGGATTACACAGGAGATCAGGCAAGGAGCTATCCAAGGTTCTAAGGTGGCTCAGCAGGTAGAACTACTGCCAGCTACAGCAGAGGCCCTCGGTTCAGATCTGGTTCCTGACACTATGACAGCTTTAGTTCTTGGTAGACATGTGCGATTCGTTTCGGGAAAAAATTGTATTTTGGACGAATTTTCGTTATTCAGAGATTCAGATGTATCCAAACTTCCGAATAACAGAAATGACGAACGAAAACGAATACGAATTTCTGAAAACGAAATTTCGGACGATATTCGTTAGCGGCAGTCTGTACGAATTTTCGTTTGTTGGACGAATTACGTTGCAGCAAAGTGACATTTAAAAAAAAAGTCACTTTGCTGCAACAAAACGAAAACAAAAATCCGTACAGAATACTGCTAACGAATTTCGTCCGAATCCCGAAACGAATTGACTTTCGGACCCAAATCCCGAAAAACAAAATAATGCAAAATCCGAATTGAAACAAATGTTTTGTCGGTGCACATGTCTAGTTTTCGGGGTCCAGAAATGAGCTCTAGTTGTAGTGAATGAGGTAGATACGGTTACAGATCACATTTTAGCAAAAGCCAAAACTTTTATTTTTTATTTTAGATGAATACAAGTAATGAAAAATCTCCCCCCCCCCCCCCAATTCTCTTTAGGCCCAATTCACACCTAGGCGTATTGTAATATGCGCGGCTGTCGCGCGACCGTCGCGCGTTTTTGTACGGCGATTCGCGGTAAAAAAGTTGCGTGACCGTCGCGCGATTCCGAAGGCTACTTGGCTGTATCCCAATGGAAAGCGCCCTACAAAACGGCCCAAAGTAGTCCCGGGACCTTTTTAGGCGTGGGCCGTTTTGTAGGGCGTTAGGGACGGGCGGAAATACGGCAAGGTGGGAACGAGGGCATTGACTACAATGCAATTTATATTTTTGACCGTTTTGTAGAGCGTTCGTCGAGCGTAGAACGCCCTACAAAACGGTCAGGTGTGAACGAGGCCTTATTGTATTTTGCCATCTGTGTCTGGGTATACTGTATCTCCCTTCACTTTCTGTCCTATAGACACAAGAGAAAGTAAAAGGAAATATCTATACTGTGAGGAAAATCCCCTCTTTGTTGTCACTGGAACAGGTGTCCTCGCAGTAGGATTTCCCCTCTATTCCTGTCTTGGTGACAACTTACATCAGAACTCCAAACATAAGATAAAAATGAACAGCCTGTTAAAAGATGAAATAACAAAGCCAACTTTTGCTGCAGCGCTTGCCTTAAATCCAGAGATTTACCCGCTAGATGTCCTCAGGCTGATGGCCAGCATCATTCAGTCCACTTCCTCAGAACCAAAGTCATCCTGGACCCAACGCCAGCCTGTGATCGGACAGTGAAGGGAGAAGCGGCACAGTGATGAGCTCATTTCTCTGTCACTTTGCTCTCTCTTCTTAGCAGTATGATTTTTGTCAGCGTGCCAGAGGCTGTTCCCTGTTAAAAGGGTACTTGCAAGTAGGAGCGGCTTTGCCCATTCGGAGCAACTGTCATTTATTAAAGAGACACTGTCACTTTTTCCTCATACACGGCAGCTATCTTTTTTTAAAGAGACCCTGTCACATTGCCCATTGAGAGCAACTGTCTTATTTAAAGAGACACTTTCACTTTTTTCCCATACAGAGCAACCATCTTTTTAAAAAAGAGACACTGTCCCTTTTTTCCCATACAGAGCGACTGTCTTTTTTAAAAAGAGACACTGTCACTTTTTTCCCATACAGAGCGACTGTCTTTTTTTTTAAAGAGACACTGTCACTTTTTTCTCATACAGAGCAACTGTCTTTTTTTTAAAGAGACACTGTCACATTGCCCATTGAGAGCAACTGTATTTGTTAAAGAGACCCTGTAACTTTTCCCATTCAAAACAACTGTCTCATTTAAAGAGACCCTGTCACTTTTTTTCCTCATACAGAGCAACTGTTTTTTTTTAAAGAGACCCGGTCACTTTTTCCTCATACAGGGCAATTGTCTTTTTTGAAAAGAGACCCTGTCACATTGCCCATTCAGAGCAACTGTCAAGAAAGCCATTGATAACCATGTCAATGCTAAAAAGGCAATCATTGGTTTGGTAGAAGAAAAAAAAAGAAAAGCCACGTCACACAGCAAAAGGGAATTTTAAAACTTTTATTAGCTAATGTTACCAAGCGCAGGGCGAAATTATGGAATTATGGTTTTTGCCAAGTCCCCACAGACTGAACAAACCATTATGTGTATATTCTTCACATTATAAAAAGAGTTCTCAGACCATCGATGTTACTGGTTTTCCAATTGTTTGGCACATGATCATATGAGACCTCACGTGTTCTTTAGCTGAAAGTCTGTAATTATTCTTTTACAAGGAATTCCCCAAAATCACTTTTTTTTCTGGTTAATTGATTCCATACCCGTGGGGTTTTTTTTTGTTTCTCTGGTATCTGTTTCACCTTGTGGTCTGCAGCAGACCGTGGTATACGAAATGAATCATCCTAAAATAGGAAGGTGATGTCACGTCTTGCTTGTTTCACGGGGCAGCTTGGTTGCCATCTAAATATTGAACGTGTGGGCGAGCTTGGTGAGCTTTTACCGCTTTGGCTGGAGATGGCGGTGATGATGTCATCCAGAAATAGAACATCCTTCATCGCTGCCCGGCAGCTGGGGGTCTGGGCTTCTAGGGGCAAAAACCTGCACCATTATCCTACATCCAGTCACTGGAAATGAAAGTGTTTAAACATCAGCCTCATTTACACTTCAGCGCAGTGGCGTCACTAGGGGGTGCGGCCTGCACCCGGGTGACACCATTGGAGTTTGGTGTCACCCCCTCTGAAAAGCCGGGCACTCGGTCAGGGACAGAGAGCACGACAGTTGCAAGAGAGAGATACCTTATTGCGCTGGGTGAACGTCTACTCCTCTCTATCTCACCCAAAAAGTCGCTCCTGGACCCAGTGTCGTCACAAGGGGGGGTGCAGCCCGCACCCGGGTGGCACCATTGGAGGGTTGACACCAAAATAACTGACAGTCATTTTGGTGTCACCCCCTCTGAAATGTTGGACATTTCAGAGGTGGTTGTCTCGGTCATGGACTGCAGGTATCATCAACATGGCCATCATCGTGCACGCGCGTGGTAACGTCACGCACATGCGCGATGATGTTACGGCGTGGTGTCACCCGGTACCCGCTCTAAAATCTAACCCATTCAGCCCCCCCCCTTTTATTTTTTTAGTTAATACCTTTTGGAGTGTTTTACATCCACCCATGTCTGTTGCCCAGGTCCCTTGCTCTCCCCATTTTCGGGTTCACGGACTGGTCCTTGCCTGTGCCCGCTGATATCATCACCTGCAGACTATCTTTTGGATACTGAGAGAACCCTGACGAAGGGCAGCCAAGGAAAAAGGACCCCACCCCCTGCGCATGGAAGAGAGAAGTCTCAGGACTCTTCATGTGACTCCACATTTAGGTTATTAAAAGGTTATTAATTTTTTTTACTAGGGCTGTGGAAATGAAAGATTAATTTCTCGATTAATCGTTAAACTTTGTGATCGATTAATGCAGCAGGGGATTGGCCAAGTCCAACTTTTTGTGTCAAACATTAAGATTAAGATTAACATTAAGATTTGCATATGACTTGCTTATACACCGATCAGCCATAACATTATGACCACTCCCCTAATATTGAGCAGTGCCCCCTTTTGCCACCAAAACAGCCCTGACCCGTCAAGCCATGGACTCCACTAGACCTCTGAAGGTATGCTGTGGTACCATCAGTAGCAGATCCATTAAGTCCTGTGAGTTGTGAGGTGAGGCCTCCATGGATCAGACATGTTTTTCCAGAACATTCCACAGATGCTCCATTGGATTGAGATCTGGAGAATTTGGAGGCTAAGTCAACACCTCCAACTCATTGTTGTGTTCCCCAAACCATTCTTGGACCATTGTTGTAGTGTGGCAGAGCACATTATCCTGCTGAAAGAGGCCACTGCCATCAGGGAATAACGTCTCCATGAAGTGGTGTACTTGGTCATGAACAATGTTTAGGTCGGTGGTCTGTGTCAAAGTAACATCCACATGAATAGCAGGACCCAAAGTTTCCCAGCAGAACATTGCCCAAAGCATCACACTGCCTCCGCCGGTGTTCTATCAAAGTTTGTGACTGCGTTAGAATGTGTGATCGGTGACGTGGTCACACATTTTAATGCAATCCCGCCCAGTTTTTCGGCGGTATAATGTGTGACCAGTCACATGG